TATGTTGGAATGTCATTGTAAGTGGTTGGAGTACCAGCCATAGCGTAAAAATTATGAAAAGCTTTGCTATATGAAAAATTTTTAGCTCACTGTTGGTTGGTCCAACTCTTGCTCAATTGTCTCCATATCATCTCTAATGCTGTCTGCAGAGTCCAATGTACCATGAGATGTAGTAATTTCAGACAATAGCTATTACATGATATACTACTTAAAATAATGAATTTTATCAATTACTCTTGCTCTTTCCCTAATAATGACAGCAGTTGAATGCCTTTTTGGCTTTGATACAGTATTTGGCCTCATAAATATGGTTGGTGTTGCCTCCGGTTTAAGCAATATCTTTGCTTTTACTCCCATTTTTTCTAAACAAACTAATTGTTAAAATGTTCATGCTTTACATAAAAAAGTACCTGATATAAGTGATCTTGGCTTGAAACAGTCCTCTGTAAAGTGATCACTGCACACACAAGAATAGTCACTTGGGCCTTTCCAACATGCTCTTGTCTTCTGTACTTCTTTTATCCATTTATTTCTGATCTGCTTGTCTTTGGAGAAGCTAAACAAGCTCACTCCACTCTTATGAGTATTAGTACACCCAGCTGCCACACAATTCCTTCCCATTGCTCAAGCAGACATGTAAACATGAGTACCCCCAAGTGCGTCATCGCTTGACCATGCCCACCACAGGAAGTAAATGTTGAGAAGCCAAAAAGTGCAAACTTTGTGCAACTTTCTTGCAGGTTTTTTAACATTTCTCAAAAAAATTTTTTTGCAAGTAATGAAACATCAAAAAAGTGAAATATGATTTTTAATAATTTTTGATATTTTCATGGCACTTACCCTATAAGCAATATTTATAGGGTGCTTCTAATTTTGCTGCAAATTTGGACCATGCACATTTACTTTTCATTAAAATACCAGCAAAAAAGCCCAGAACTGACTTCAATCAATGTGTGATAAAGTGTACTCAAGAAAATTGAACAGAAAAATACAATGCTGGTTAATAGCTGCATGCCCTTCATCCAGTAACTCACTGACAATTTAGTTAAAGGTTTTCGGTTTATCATCAATATCACAGACAAAAGCGTGATAACGAGGATTATAGCTCTAATAAATTAGTCTAAGTGGTACAGTATGTCCTTCAGACTAAAATTACACAACTTGTATGGTTTGGGATACTCCTTACACTTTGTGCTTTTAATACACTTAAATGCCAATGACAGTGTTGAAGTTCCAGCATCTTCTGGATCAGAATCAACAGCAAACAAGTCACCCAAAGTTAACACTGACATTAAATTGTCATCACTCACAGGTGCTATTTCTGGTACCAAACAATTCCATTTTCATATCACACACAGTCTCTAATGACCCACTTAAAAGCCCTTATGTCAATTGCTTGTGCAAATTGAGATATCTGTATCACATAAATATACGATAAACTTTAGCCAATGGTTTATATAAAATGCATGTATTATACTTACCTTAACGTAATGGCTTTTTAAAACTTTAGATAGCACTCTATCTCTAATATCATGACTTTTACAAAGAAATAATGTTTGTATTTCACTGCTTTGTCTTCGGCAATACAAATCACATTTTGCCTGAGTTTTTCAGTGATTACATTAAAACTAGGTATAGTATTACAAAAACTTTGACCAATCCTATGGTGCTGACAATTTCATCACAATAGCTGCTTGAGCTGGAAATGCAAAGTGGACTGCTAGTACCTTCACTGTCAGATAGGCAGTGAACTCTGAGCACTCTGGGTATTCTGATTTCAAGTAGAGGCACTATTTTCTCCACAATTGATCAAGTGGTGCTAAGGAATGTAGGTTATGCATTGTAACTATTACAAAACAGTAAACCATGTCCCCTTGTGTTTGTTTTAGTAAAAGGTGGTCACGCCCACTATGACAAGCTAGATATACTCTTTAACAGTAAACAAATGTGTCTAAATGCTTGCTGAGTGTGTCATCTCCTAAAATATTGTCTAACCAAAGTAATCACTGAGGCCTGTTTCTTTACTGTACCGATCTCTCTTGAATGTAAAGCCTTCAAAACAGCATCAAAACTACTTCTAACATTGGCCAAATATGAATATTGATTTGCACCATCACTTCTCTTCTGTCCAGTGTAATGCGGAATGCCACAACACAATCCCTTCAGACACTCAACTGTAAGTTTCCACTTTGTGTCCTCACCTCCAAAAAATGGTGCTTACCACCGATTGACCTCTATGAGTAATGAAGTCTAGTTCAGGAAGATATTCAGAATCAGAAGCGAGCATCGTACTATCTAGCTCCATTTGTGCCACACTATCATGGCCGACTTAGTATTTTTCTTTGTTGTCCTCCGCACCGCTTTATTATTTTGCTAAAAATTATTTTTTTCCGTAGTAATATTGAAAAACCTATCACAAAAATGCTGCTGCTCTTTTAAGTGGAGTGAGCGTCATCAAAAGTAGTCTGCACTGGTATTGCTTCATGTTCTGAGTACTATGAAGCTTCATATACCTCTAGTGCTTGGGGAAATATTTCAACCTCCATTGCTCCTGCCAATGCATCCTTATCATATACTGAAGTCCTTGGCATTCTGCAATCTCAAATCTTCTGTGACTGCACTTGTAAACTGAGCATGTGTAGTAAATTAAAGCTTTAAATAGTTATTTCAAAAGTCATATTTTGTCATAAATTGGTTATAACACATCTCTTAGTCAATGTACTATTTTGAGCACTTCAGCTGTGCCCGTGGGCTCAAAATAGTATATTGCCCTCCATATTAGCAAGAGTACATAATACCTAAGGAGAGTATCGAACGGCCCATGAGGGCATAATTGCTAAATGTCACAATCCACATACTCCAGTGTACTTCATCAATGAATACAATTATCGCATAGACATTGAGTTGCCGTTGTCATGAGTCGGCAAGTTTTTTGGACACAAGCTCCTAGATACTAGCAAGACTGCCTTTGTTGTTCATCTTTCCAGCCTTCTTTTGAGTTCCTTTCATGTATTGAAAGAGATTGCCAAGTTTTTTAAAGCTAAGGGCTATATAATGTTGCAGCATGGTTGATCACGTGAGATGGTATGTATACAGGAGTGTGCAGATTGTGACTTTGAGCAAATACGCCCTCATGCAGGAGTCTACTGTAGGGCTGTTGGATACTCCCTTCACAGAGGCGTATTTAGGGGGGGCTGAGGGGGCTTGGGCACCCCCCTCAGGGCTGGGCTCAGAAAAAATTACTGAAGTCCTGGACTCTTGCATCACTACCAAGCCTCTTAACAAAGTTATCTAGCCCCCTGATCATGATTTCAGCAGTTTCCAGTGCTTTAAGGAGCAATCAGAAGTATCAGTAACATAGCAGTACGCTTGAAATGATCTTGGCCCCACCCATAATTGACGAAAATGCAGGAAAAGGCCGTTATACCGCCGTAAAAGTGGGTGTGGTCAAAATCGCGTCGCGCGCCCTCAACACCCCCTTCTTCAATTCCTAGATACGCCCCTGCTTCAGGGCTCTTGATAATAGTATATAGCCATATTAATATCATTGCACAGAGGAGCACCTAACAAATCAACTGAAGAAGGAGGAATCAAAGAAGCATTGAGGAAAACTGAGAACAAAGCATAGGATAGACTAAGAGAATATCTTATAATTTCCAGTTTTCTAAAATTTAGAATTAAATGAATTGACTCAGTTTGATTGCGACAAGTGATGTTATCCAAAACTGAGGAAACTGGGCATGGCACAGTAACATCATCCAAGTAAGCTATGCCAACATTGAGATTATAGTGGAACCAAAAACCAGTGAGGAGTTCAATAAAAGGGCGCCCATTAAATCACTCTGCTGTATGTCCCCAGCTTAATGCAAAACCTACTTTGACCAATAAAGGATCAGGAGTAAAAGCGGATTTATAATGTGACATTAGGCCAGCGTACCGTCAACTTTTAATAAAAAGTGTGGGAGATTTGACCTTCTCACACATGCTTTCCGCTGGACCAGATTCTGTTACAGTATCAACTGTATTGTCAGGACTGGCGTAATATTGTAAATCTGCCTTAAGCTGAGTGAACAAATGAGAAAAATTACATTTGGACATAAGTCCCTAACAGCCTCCAACGTAAAGTCTCGTAAAACACAATTAAAAGCATTGAAAAAATCATAACATCCCCTGTAGGAAGGTCACAATTGAAGTGGCGAGCAGAATGAATGTCAGCCTTGACCCCTCACTTTATCCAATTGGTGGGGTGAAGTACTACTAAACATTACAACTATTAGCATACAACCAGAATTGAGTGCACAGGCAGTTCATAATCCTATATAAAAATTTTCCTCTTACATTAAAGTTTAGTGTCCTGTAAGTATTGAAGTTTAAACAAACAGGAAATGGAGAGTAGCTTCATTTTTATGCTATTCTTATTAGTTCAACTTCTACAAGCAGATTTTAAATGTTGTCTGTTTGATCCTTTAGTAGAAGTCTATCCTTCATATAATTTTAATATTCAGTAAAAATATTCAGTAACAAGGCTGGAAGACAAATGCCTTTACGTTTTTCTATGTTAAGAAGCTTCTGTCACTCATTAACAACATCCACTTAGTAAAATTTTGGCAGGAGCGAAAGCAAATTGTGACAGCCCTTTAAAATGAGCCTTTTCACTATGTATTGCCTATTCACAATGCATTACATAATCACATCAGCTGAGTTTTGTGCCACATTTAGTCCCTTTTGCCATTGATCATATTGCTACCAGCAGCTATATTTTGTGCCATTATTCGTTCCATTTGCAATATATCTTATTTGTACCAACAGCTGAATTTTGGAGCATGTTGTGTTGTTTTGATGTGAAACTATCACTATTCTAAAACATGGTACTATTACTTTGCTAGTGTCAATAGATTTTTAAAAAGTCATATCACACTGTCACTTTCTTTTTTCTTTTGAGTCTACTGCTAATAAACTTTTTGCCTATCGCCTACATGCATGTAAATACTTAATGTTCATCAACTACTAAGATTGTAGTAATTTATTAGAATTTGGAGATGCATGAGCATACAACACAAATAACACTACAGTTTGAATATAGTATCATACACTTACAGTTTGACATTCAAAATTAATACTTATGGTACTACCTTTAATAAGCATTTATCAACGAAGTTAGAACAAAAAATAGATAATGCTTGATGTTAAATAAAAGATCATACTTATTGAATCATGATAACACAAGAAATTCTGAGTTTCATACTCAGTATTATGTGCCGTTAATTAATATTGATTGCATTAAAATCTTGGTAGATGAAGTAACTCATAGAATCTCAATTGATCTTACCTACACTACATCAATAACATGACTTATG